AACTCACAGTTCAGCTGATAGTAAGAGATTGCTGCAGTCCATGGACACCTTCGAATAATCTGAATGAAATAAAAAAATATTTAACTATTAAACAATTTTATAGGCGTTATTCGGTCCAGCATCTGGGTCCATCATCAGATCAGCACCCTGGTTCCATATTATGGCATAGTCATCGAAATTACATAAATATTCCAAATTTCAGCTAAATTGAATGTCCGTAAGTAATAAAGTAATAATATTAAATTTTACGGATTTTATCGCGTTTAATTTGTTTCATCTAAAACCTGAAGATTTCCCGCCCTATTACATCGTGACGTCAAACACTTCAGGCCCCTTGTGACCATGGGTGCTGTGAAACACCCGAAACGTCGTAAATCAATTACTTTTATTAAAAATATAAAAAAACCCCGAAACATAATGAGCCGATGATCTTCAAACGGCTCGTCAGATTTTCTTGAAACATAGCTAAGATTACTTGATCAAGACACATTCCAACGAAGTAAACTAAATCAAAATCGGTTCATCTGTTCAGGATCTATGACGTCACAGACAGACACACAGATACACGAATACACAGATACATAGATACACGTATACACAAACACACAGCTACACACTACAAACATATACCCAAACATACCCATCTGTTTCCGTCGGGGGTTATAAATAACTTATAATAACGCGATAAAATCCTTAAAATTAATTTTATTCATTATCAAGTGTTCGTGCAAATATAAAAATAATTATTATGTAAATAAGCGCTCCAAAAATGTCTAAATTTAAAGTTTTGAAAAGAAAATAAAATGTTTGTAAAATAAATGCGTTGTCACTCCTGAGTAATAAACAATACAAAATTTCTTTCTTTTTTTATTTACATGATTTATTTCAAGTGCCATAAATCATAAAAACGGACCTTAGCATCCCACTTTCCCTTTATATTTGATCTTAGGATTGACCTTCGTCTTATCGGCCTTGCCAATAATTAATCTTGTCGACTTGTTACGTGTCATCATTAACTTTTGAAAAAGTTTTATCCTTCTATTAATCTTAATAAGTACTTAACCTCTAATATTTTTTCTTTCGTTTACGCTTTACTGATTTCTTTTTTTAATTTAAGCCATAAAAATTAAACGTCGTCAAATTTATTGGTGCGTTTAGTGTCAAGTACAGAACTTAGAACTAACCACACTAATAACTTTGTCGACACCAGATATCGATTTTTTTTAGTTTTAAGATTTTTTTCTTGATGCTAAGCTTCAGGTTTTTCAATAACCTAAAAGTGGTTTAAATTTTTAATAAGTGAGTCGGTGATAGAAATGACACTTTTCGGAACATAATAACTCAACAATTACAATAGTTTCATTCATGAAATTCGAGGAATTTCTAGGTATTTAATGGATGTTTCAAACTTTCACTGTTTGATTTTCAGACACAATAGTAAGATAATACGTAGCAACGAACTATAAGTAGTACATGGGACAGCGAATGGGTTAATAGGTTTGCAAAATTACAGGTGTGTTCGCCTATTAGTTTTTGAGTTATAGGGGTTACAAAGTGGCTTGAATATATAAACACTGTCGATATGTTGCCCTGCTCTTTTCCAAACTTCGCTGACACACAGCTGTGTGATCAACTAGATCCAGCTCCTGGCGGCGTTTCACTTAATAATAGATTAAAAGAAAATGAAATTGACAAAGTAAACGTGAACTTGTTCCGATACATTGTGAACATTATGAACGAAACACTGTGTAATTAAAATCTTGAAAAAATATTAATATTATATGGATCATCATCATAATCATCATCATTAGCTTGTGACAGTCCACTTCTGAACATAGGCCTCATCCCAGGTACGCCACTTAGTGTGATCCTCTGCTTCACGTATATATTTGCTTTGCAGAGCGTCGCTCCATCTAGTTAGAAGCGCGAGCTCCACTGCGACACGACCTTGATACCTCACATTAACCAAAATATTATCTCTGTGATCTCTTCTCACATTTTAATAATTATCATGACATACGTACATAAGATACCATGTACATAAGATAACATACATCAGATGGAAACCGTGTATTGGCGGCTTAAGAATATCTCGTGGATGTCGTTAGAAGCGATAGAGGGAAAATGAAACAGAAGATGGACAGAAGCATCTTCCTTATAACAGTTCAAAATGATAAAAAATTACGATCTCCAACCCACCTGCCAAGCCTGGCAACTATGGCGAAATTCTCCCTCTTTGACAATCTATGGGAGTATTCTATGTTCATATGTGGACTTTTATAGGATGTAATCAATGGATAGACATTAGACATATCTGTAATATTATAAATGTACCTTTTATTTGTGTGCATCTCACCAAATAAATATCTCTTCCTTTCTTTCAAAATAAAGCAATTCAATAAAATCGTAGAAACTTTGTACCATAATTTCAAAGTGCTTCAACCTTTTGCAAGTACGTCAGTCCAGATCTCCATTACAGCTTCCCCTAATCAGTGAAATGAGAATATAATTCAATAAGTACTAATATTGCTCTCGTGCTTGCGAGTTAAATGAATCTGAGCGGAATGATTTCAGCATTAATTATTTGGAGTGACTTAGGTACTTAAATATCTGAGACAATTATCAGAATGCCATACTGCTTTCTGTTTTATATGTGTAGGAGGAGTACGGTGGGGGATTGGGGTGCGCGATATCATGCTCACCCCCTGTATACTGGGGCTGCACATAGCTAACCAGAAGTGGCAGCTGTTAGTGCCGAGTTTTGCCGAGTCCTTTTTAGATGCGTATGGCCCACCGAAGACAAAGTGAAAACGCGGAGAAGACGTATGTGATGCGTCAATTGTTGAGGTGTGCTCTATCCTAAGACGTGTCTAAGTGCGGATGTGGTAAAGTGGTAGGAGTGGTGTTTCAGTGGTCTTGTCATGGACATTGGGCGCAGGTGAAACACATTTCTGATAAAAAAGATCTTAATCTGTCGAAGCTTCAACCTTGGTAAGCTAAACTCTATTTTCTTTTATGGAAGAGGAGGTCAACGAGCACGCGGCTTACCTAATGATAAGTTATCACAGTCGTCCATGAACATCTGCAAGACCAGGGGAATGGCTGTTGCGTTTGTTGTTACGTGCTTTTTCATCATCAAATCAATATCACTTAATACAAAATGACTCTTCTTCGCCACTTCCTACTTTCTAGTTTAAGTTAGATTTTTCCTTGAGAATTCTTGATGTGCGACATAATTTCCCCTGATCTAATTTGACCGGTACTTCGTTTGAAGCAATCTGTTTCGAGCGACTTAAGGGGCCACGATCTCAGAATTACCGACCTCAATTTCTTTGTTTGTAAGTTAGAATGGGTAATTTTATTAAATATGACAGCGCTTCAATATTTCTTGATATTATCTTGTTTTCATAAATATTTCCGCAGCCTTACAGCCTTTTTGGAGAAAACAGACTCCAGATTGTGAAAATAGAAAAACTAATTTAATACAGCTCCGCAAGTTGGGATGAACTGAGTTAGCATTTCGCAACGGTAAACACGTGTAAATGCTGCTGCAATACGTCTCAAACTGTGACTAAGTAGTCCAGTTAAATCAGCGATCAACCGCGGAATGAGAGATAACAAGCTGAATTTTTGTATATACCTTTATTTTGGCGTTTTATGTTGTCTCAAAAGTCTCATAAAATCTCGAGTCCGCGTCATAAGTTATTCAGGGTCAAAGGTAAAAAAAAAACGGTTTTTCGCGATTATCTCGGTTTCTATTGCTCCAATGATATTAACATTCATTATAGTTAGACTATGTTCGCTTGTCACTTTTCGTCACTAGTAACACCAGGACTGTGTATTGTCTGAATTACGCGGCAAAATTAGCTTAACGGTACGCGTACAAAATAATAATCAAGGTGTGATTAGTGTTTTAGAACAAAATGTTTTTTTTTGAGGTCGTCGATCGCTGGTAATATTTGAAAATTAACTATTTATACATAGAACTTTTTTAAATTATTCAGAGCAGTTGTTTAATTTCATAACTACAAGTGTACCGTATATACGCCCGCGCAAGCACTTTATTAATTATATTTATTTGTTTCAGGTAAGTACGGGGAAACAAATGTTCCTGTCATTAGTATATAAAACTCGTAAGTGGCAAATGACTATTCATTTTAAATCAGTGGTTCATAACATTTTATGGATGAGGTACCTTTTACATAAAATATAATAGTGATGTTGATTTTTAAGATTGTTCCGTTAATAAACATTATCATTACAGTTTGTAAGTTTCCTTTAGATTGTCTCATAGAGGTACATTGGTCATAGTTGCCAAGCGTGGCAACTAATGAGGCTTATGTGCAGCATTGGACTTTGACATGCTGTAATATTGAATACTTAACCACTAGAACTCTAACGTAAAGTACTATTTAGACAAGACAGTGTATTAAAACTGGACTCAGATCGGTTAAGAAGTAATCCTAAACCGGGAACGGCACCAGAGAGCTCTTTACAAGAAAGGAGGAAACGTGGTCATCCCAGTTAATCCTCTATACGCTCAGTCATCCAAGAACATGGCTACCAGATCTAAAACTAAAATGTTCTGACAAAATTCCTTGATTATACAGCAAGTTTCCTGACTTTCTCGTAATTATATAATGCTAATAGAACGATTATATTCACTTGTATCGTTTTCTCATGATGTGAAGCTATTATATTTTTTTAGTTAAAAAATTGATCCCTATGCATCACCTTTCTCTTACAAAAATGCCTGCGAAATTAAATTACAATTAATTTTATTCATTTATTAATTTTACTAACTTTTTAAATTTTAGTATTTTTATAAATTTAATTAATTATTTATTTGATTTTATTACTTTTTTTCTGATTTCCTGACTGAACTGCTAAATTCTTGATATGTCAGGGAAAGTTCTGTCATCTGGTAACCCTATGCCATAGCCTAAGACAGACCTCGAACGTGGGACAAGGGATATTGGGTAAGTAAATAAAAAATCCAGTTACTCCAAACTCTTGTCATCTCCGAAAGTGTAATTAATTAATCTCAGCTTCTTGTTCCGTAAGGAACCAGGCGAAGTAGTCGGGTTATTTTGACGAAGAAACGCGGCGCTGGTGGTGACTGTGTCTGCTATTGTCGTGCGATGGAATCTCGTAAAATCAAAATGCTCCAACTGTGAATACGGAATGAGCGTCGTTGTGCGCTTCTTCCCAACATAGTAGCTCGGCATCTGTGAATAATGGAAAATAAATTGTTTTAGGATCTAATGGAAGTGGAATAAGCTCGGGATACCATCCATACCATCTGGATGATTAGCGGTCCACCACTGTGTGATTTACTGGAAGTTTTCTTCCTCACCCAACTGTCTTGTTGAACCCATTACCACCACCCATTTTTCCAGACCAATATGACATAGGAACCTTCAAGAAAAGAGCCCACTAAGTTTTAAAAGGCCATCAGGCGAGGTACATACTCGTTTGCCCCCTCTTACGTAAAAAAAACTTACTTACTTATACGTGGTGTGGCTACCAGGACTGGACAGGTTCATAGTGGACAAACGATTTGACATGTAATTTTTAAATATAAAGACTTAAACTTTCAGACACAATAGTAAAACTGTGAAAGGGTTTTTTGAGTAGATATTTGGTTTTAAAATAAAACAGGATAAGCCCGGTTGGACTCGCGCTTGAAGGGTTCCATACCATCCTAAAACACGTTTCTAGTAGAGGATCCCCCTTCAGTTTTTAATTTATTTTTATTTTTATTATTTTTTGTTATAACGATAACAGAAATACACATTCTGTGAAAATTTCAACTGTCTACCTATTACGGATCATGAGATATAGCCCGCTGACAGACAGACGGACGGACATCGGAGGTTTAGTAATAGGGTCCCGTTGGTTACCCTTCGGTACGGAACCCTAAAAGCAGGAGAGGTGTATTTGGATGGTCCCAAATGGAAGTCCATAGTATCTGCCTAACTTCTTGGTGACACAATTTCTTTATCATTACCGGTTTAATTTCATTTTATATTTACTTTACTGACTTTTCATGTTTCTGCGAAAAGGATCCATGCCGCCAATTTGTCCCTTGAGTATCGTAGGAAGTCGCGTCGTACAGGAAATCAATAGAATCAGGAGTTACTTTGCGGAAACGCCTTACGTGTAAGATGTGAAAATTAATTATCTAAGGGAAATGTTGGTAGGGAGGAATCTTATTAACTACTTTCTCCTAGAAGAAGGGTGAGAAATGAGTACACAGTCCACCTGATGGTAAATGGATGCTATGACCCATAGACATCTTCATCTATCCTCGATTAAGAATCAAAATACAAACGCATTGTCTCCGATGACTAAGATGGAATGTCTCATTACGGTTGTCTCTACCCTCACAATACGAAACACAGCAACATTAAGCTGATATTTTACGCTGTTCTTCTGTGAGAGTGTGGTTCTTCCCGGTCGAGAAGAATATAGCTGCAGCAAGGCTCTACTAAGTGTAATTTTTCGCTCATGCTTTTTCTGCAACAGTTACAGCCTATATACGTCCCATTGCTGGGCACAGGCTTTAGGGCAAGGAAATGTCCGCCACGCTGCCCCGATGAGTGTTGGCGAACTACACATGTCTTCGCATCTTTTTTCTTATTTCTCAGACATGCAGGTTTCCTCACGATGTTTTCCTTCACCGCCGAGCACGTGGTAAATCAGCACTTAAAATTGCAATTAATTTCATTGGTGCCGGCGGGGATCGAACCCGGCTTACTCGCGTACTGTGAAATTTAAAGCGAGCGCTAACCACCTGAGCTACCACGACTCTTCAACTTTAATTGTATTACTTTATTTTAAACAGTTTTGGTTAGCTACATACGGTTTCATTAATAGTCTCGATCCAATCAGCGAAGGCCCCGACTAATGTGAAGACGGTAGGCGCATTAGGGAACCCACAAATGGTCGGACCGAATGAGATAATCCCGACTAATTTTCCAGCTACTATAGCGGGACCACCGGCGTCATGCTGAAAACAAATTCGCCTATATATATTAAATTATATTAGTATGACAAAGGAGTTAACGCTCTTTTACTTGATTAAAACTAGTATTACAGATTTTATCGCGTTTATTAACTTATTACCTGAGTATATAATATATACATACGTATGTCTATTTCTTTGACACTCACATTTTGCAGTACTAATATATGTGATAGGATGAAGTCTATCTTTTTATTGAGACCATCAAGCTGCTATTTCACGCTGATATTTTGTGAGAGCGTGGTCTCCCGTGGCCTCCCTCCCTGGTCAAGCCGAACTATTCGTCCAACAACCTACCCCTACAACGTTCCAACCGTTCTAAATTCACTTGTCTGAAGGGTAAACCGTATGTTTATGAGGTTGACATATTTGTTTTTTTTATAGGATAAGGATGACAAACGAGCACATAGTCCACCTGATGGTAAGTGGTTTCTGTGGCCCATAGACATATACATTTATCCTAGATTACGAATCAAAATGCAGATGCGTTGTCACCCGTGAGTACTAAGATGGAATGCCTCGTTTGCAGTAAAAAGGGTCTCCGGTTCTCTACACTCACCATACGAAACACAGCAACATTAAGCTGCTATTTTACGCTGGTATTCTGTGAGAGCGTGGTCCATCCCCGGTCGAGCCGACCCATTCGTGCTACAACTATACTACTAATATAGCTGCAGCATGGCTCTACCACGTAAAAATTATTTTGTTTCTTTGGCACGCACATTTTGCAGTACTAAAGTACGTGATGGCGTATTTTAGTACTGCAAAATGTGCGTGATAGTATGTTTATGAAGTTGAAATATTTGGTTTTCATCCTCATCGTCATCATTACAGCCCTTCGTGATTCCTCTGTTGAACATAGCCCTCCCTCAAGTAATGCCACTAAATGTGATCTTGAGCCACCTGTTAGCTACTCCATTTAGTGGGGCTCACCGTTAGAAGGCTATCTCCGTTTTCGAGCTATACGTCCGGCCCATTTTGTTTGGATCATCATTTAACCAACAAAACTTTGAATTATTAAGGCCTTTAACACAAGGACTTTAAAACAAGTCCACTGTTGAACATAAAGCAAAGAGATATTTTACATTTTATTACATTACAAAGAGAATTTTGGATACAGAAACTGAATTTTTGAGGCTCTTAAAATTTAAGATAAACTTTAGTACTCAGATGAAGGAATACGAACTGGAACTAATATAATAAAAACGAAACGTGAAGCCATTTTTAAAGAATCCATTCAAGAACTCACCGCACACGCTCCTTCGCCAGTCGTAATAGTTCCAGCGCAAAACATTGTTGAAGAAATAAACTTACTGGAAAGAAACAAAGTCATTTAAACTTACCCTACTCAGAATTGAGGGAAACGTCTCAAGCTCAACGTTTATTGTTATTGAATTCTGTTTAGTTGAACCTAAACTTTTGTTCAACATAATAATATGTAGAAAAATATTTTAGAAACGAAAATTAATAACACAACACGATATAAGAATATCAATCTGAAAGGCCGAAACATTGCTTTTGATTTCCTTTCCTTGAGGTTTCCACAATATATCAGTTTTTTTTGTTAAAGAATTTTTTGTTAGCATGTCATTATTCTGTCAGTGGATAGGGAGACCACTCACCTTATCACCAAATCCAAGACTCTGGATAAAGGGTGTAAGGGGAAAACCTATTCTTTTTAATCAAAAGCCAACATTGCCTGTACGCGGTCCTGTTATTGTTGCGTAACTAACTGTAACGGCGTGCTGTAAATCGACATATGGCAGAGTATCACTATACTGATAATAAGATATTGACACTACGCTTAGCATTATCATCATCATCATAACAACCCTTCACAAGTGACGTAGGTTCCACCTAAAATACAGTCCTGAGCCACCTGAATCTGTCGACTTCAAGCATAACACTGCCTACACTAACTTATTTTTTGCGGTGAGTGAGCAAAATTCTATTGAAATGGGAATGAGGGGATCGTTACCATGATGTTTCTAAATGTTATCATACTTAATGATTTCTTATATCTACGCGAACAATACATATATAAATAATATTAGTTTTTACGGATTTTATCGCGTATATTAACTTATTTTATATTTCCGACGTTTCAATTTCCATTATTTTGAGTGCCATTGGGACGTTAAACACCACAGTCCCCCCAGTGACCATGGGTGCTGTAAAGTACGCGAAACGTCGGGAATATAAAATAAGTTAATTTTTTTTATAGTATAAGGGTGACAAACGAGCACACAGTCCACCTGATGGTAAGTGGTTGCTGCGGCCCATAGACATCTACATCTATGCTCTATTCCAATTCAAAATGTAGATGCGTTGTCACCCGTGAGGACTAAGCTGGAATGCCTCATTTCCAGTAAAAAGGGCCTCCGGCCACCTGAACTCACCAAGCGAAACGCAGAGGTAAACCTCTACTTCACGCTGGTTTTCTGTGAGTTCGTGGTACCACCCAGGTTCGAGCCGGCCCATCCGTGCGACAGCAAAAGCTGACGCGTGGCTCTACCACTGTGGAAAATATATATAATAAATATACGCGATAAATTCCGTTAAAACTAGTTTTATTTAAATGGTGTCATACTTATTTGTATAAAATATCATCATCATCATCATTACAGCCCTTCACAAGTCCTCTGCTGAACATAGGCCTCCCCCAAGGAATGCCACAAAGCACGGTCCTGAGCCACCTGCATCCATCGGCTTCCCGCATGTCTTACCAGGTACATCTAGTGGAGAGGGGTGCTACACTTCGCGTATGTTAATGTTTAAAAAAGTCCCGCTGGGTTTTTCGATGGTTCTTCCCAAGATAGAGGATTTTTTTCGAACCAATTGTAAAGCTAAAATGACTTTCAATAGATATTCTCGTAGAGAATAAAAATTATTCTATTCTATTCGATTATATTCTAAAAATATGCATTTAGCAGTGGTGTCAGAAGTCTAATAAAGTAAGAACTAAGTTAACTAAGTTTAAATGAATCATTCAAGCAAGATTAAACTTACTCTCCGTATACTTCCTTACAAAACACGTTCGGGTAGACCGGTAGAATTTTTCGCTGAAGGAAAACTGGTTCATACGACATTTTTTGTGAAAGCTGTGACAAACATTTAAATAATAATTATTTGGGGCCCTCTTTTGGTACGGTGTGTAGGTATTGTTACCTCGCCCCAACAATTATCGAGAAAATTAGTACTAAAGTGCCGGTTTAAGAATATCCACTACCCCATAATATCATCACGTGAATGTCGTAAGAGGCGAAATACGGAAACTTACCCAGGGGATGGGCAACAGCGTCTTCCTAATAACGAATAAAAATAAAAAATAAACTGCGGTTGCCAACCCGCTTGCCAAGCGTGGCAACTATGGCAAGTATCCCCTTTACGAGGCAATATATGGAAGAGGCCTAAGTTCAGCAATGGACCTTAAATAGGCTGTAACGGTAACTGTCCGGGGCATCCGACAACGTGTTATTTGTACGATTTCGTTCATTATTACTTCTCTATACAATACAATACAATCTATACAAATAAATAAAATTGAAATATCTGTTTGTAATGTTAAAATATTATAATAATAATAATAATAATAATATTCCACAACTATCAAACAACGCCATCTAGTCCCAAGCTAAGCAGAGCTTGTGTTATGGGTACTAGACAACTGATAAACATACTTATATATTTCTAAATACATAAATATTATAGATAAATTACACCCAGACACAGAACAAATGATCGTGCTCATCACACAAACATTTGTCCTGGGTGGGAATCGAACCCACGACCTCCGGCGTAGCAGTCAGGGTCACTAACCACTAGACTTACTAAATGCATATGAAAATATGTACGGTACTAATAACAAAAAAACAGTTTTTAAAATTTTTGTCTGTCTGTTTGTTCCGACTAATCTCCGAAACGACTGGACCGATTTTGACGGGATTTTCACTGACAGAAAGCTCATGTAATGAGGAGTAACTTAGGATATTTGTATTTTAGAAAAAATAATTAGGGTTACGCACAAAAAAATTTTTTGCGTTTAAATTTTTCGCGGGGGACAGCTGACGATAAAAATAAAAATAAAAACTGAAAAATGTGTTCTCAATATGACCTTAAAATGATAAGCCTTTTTATCTAAAACATAAACATTCATGCTTGCTTGTTCGTATTTTATGCGCTGCCATACCTTTGATCGGATTGCGGTAAAACTTTGTCAACTTATTGTTTGCACTTGCACAAAGGTCATAAGCATAGTACGATTAACTTACACTAGGTAGCGCGTATCGTACCGACAAAGGAGAAGGAGACGTCTCCATTCATTCTTGGGCCCAGATGTTAACAATATGAAAGTTGGACCATTTGAAAGCTTATATATAAACAATTCATAACAGAAAATGTGGCAAGTTTTGTCACAATCTATGAGCCGAGTTTTAGTAGAATAAGTAAAAGTGATTTTATATATTACCTACACTGTAACAGGTGATTTATCGTTGTAATTACACTGTAACAAGTTATTTTTCACTATAATTACTTGAAGATATAAAAGCAGGATCAGTATAAAATCACGAAAGAAAAGCTGTGGTTATTTAGGAAACAAAATAGTGAAACGATTAACGAAATTTAAAACAACTAATTGAAGTGAATATTAGGCATATTGATCTGAGATCGATTACTTTAATTGTTGTTGTTACTGCTATTTGTTGGCATATTGAGATTGGCATGTTGATATTTTGTATTTTTTATTTTTATTTTGTAGATATGTTCTCAATTTTTTTTATGTCATCGCCCTATTTAACACAGAAGAACAATCAAAAATAGATATTAAAATGCTGAATTTAATAAAGAATCGATTATATTGGGCTCGTTTCATCTCTCTCGGCTCGACCACGTATGAAATTAGTATTTTCTTTCTTTATTTCTTTCTTATAAAGTACATCTAAAATGCCAAACAGTATTTATTTACCTATATTATATTACTATATTTAATTACTGTAAGCTGGCAATGTTTTGCGGCGCTGGGGCCGCGGGTTCGAATTCCGCACGGAACGGGTATTAGTATTGCCTAAAATAATTGTTCTAAGTATGACTGTTTGTACTTGTGTAATTTATGTATCTAAACTGTGTCCACCATACAGTAGAAAGTCCTAGCGTGGAGTGTTTTTTAAACAAAAAAAAAATAAAAACAAATAAAATTATTTAAGAAACAAACAATTACAACACTTATTTTGTGGGGTGTTTATAAAAAAAAAACAAGAAATACCTTCTTAACTCCCCAGCCCAAAAGCAACACTTCTGCGGTATTCGGTATACCGCCAGGATTGTGGGATATGGCGATGATCTTCGGCGTGCGATGGTAAGTGAAGAAGAGATGATACCGGAGACGTATCACAGCGATATTATTTCTCAGTGTACGTGGATTGTACGATGGGTGAAAATATACCTAGAAATAAAAATTATACCTAGAAATATGTCCACTTTATATAACCACTCTTTCTACCGATTTCAAACAGGACGACTCAATTCAACTGTATGTTTTTTTAATGTGTGTTACTTCATAACTTTTATCTGTGTGAACCGATTTCTACGATGCCTTTTATTTGAAATCTGGTGTTTTACAGGTGGTCCTGTATAAATTTGATTAAGATCTGACTGATAGTTTTTGAGTTATTCGTAATTGTTTACATTGAAGTCGGTTATACAAAATTTTTAATTTTTAATTACTCGTATTTGTTACGTGGTATACATCTTTATAACATGGTGTATGCAACAGCTGTATTATTGTCTGTATTTATATGTGTACATATATGTTTGTATTTACAGGGTTATTTTGCAATAACCGGCCAAATTTGCAGAGAAAGTTGAAAATAAGTAATATAGGCAAATGGGAAAGAAAATTTAATAAATAAAAATCTCAAACATTCTATCCTTTCATCTTTTAAATTCAAAATGCGTGGTAATGAATTATTTTAACTGATTTTACTGCGCATGCACACATTGGTAAGGGTCGATCGGTAGGCAAAAACGTTGTTGCCCATAAATCACATTCAATTTGGGATAATTTCAAATAAAAGTAGAAGCCTTATTTAGTCGTATTTTCAAAAACTGAAATAACAGCATATTATTATTATTTATATTTTTGAACTTAAGTTTAAAATTTGGCTTACACTTTAAAAAATAACCCTGTATATATATTTTTATATATACAAAGACTATATTGTATAGAGTATGGCGCCACTTCAGATCACACTACAACATACTAGACCTCCCCCAAGGAATACATCAAAGTACGCTCCTGAGCCGGTTACTAATCCATTGTATATATAGCATATATAGAGATATATATATACTCATAAAAATATTTAAATAAAAAGTGAGATAGCTTTAAGCTAAAATTAAAACACACGGTCACTACTTAAGTCTTGTTAATTTAAAAAGAGAATAAGCATATGTTTTACGGTATTTTAATGATGTTTACCTCAAGTGCGTCCACCATCTCTCCACCAATTCTACTGTGATTGCTGCCGATCCTAACTTGAAGCACTTTTGGGTTTTCCCGAAAGAAACGGTTGTTGTGCATCCTTAAATTTTTAAAAAGTTGTGATTATCTTTTCCATTATAAGCAGACCACAACATTAACTTTATATCATAACTCTTGCTCCATGCGGAAGGATTTATAGATGTTAAATAATTAAAAAAATGATAGTTTCAAAAATCCAAAAAGAACTAGACTACTACTACTACTAGAAGACTAGACATCTGCGCCGGACAGGATTATAGTGCATGAGTGTGAGTGCAAACACAGGTGTAATTCCTGCTTCCTCCATCTCACATTCCGATTAGACGCCAATCCGACTCGACCGGAGAGAGATTGGAGGTGCAGTACCAATTTCTTAGGTAAGGGAGTGGAACGCCCACATTCTGACTCCGGTCAGCTACAGAGCATATCTTGACAGAAATATCCAATCATTAATTATGGACCCGGGAATCTAACTCCGGACTTCAAGATCAGCAGTCGCGTTTACGACCACCACAGACCAAAGGGCAGTCAGTTAATGAGGATTATTCAATACATATATACACAAAGCCAGTAAATATGTAAATTCTAAAAAAAATGCGTGAGTGTCGTAGAACACTCGGTTGGAACGAAGTTCCTTGTATAGTATTATTATTGATAAACGTAGGTTTTATATTATTGATTAACAAATACAAATAAATGATTTACTAGCGTCTATTAAAATAAGTAAGACACCCCCCCCCCCCCTCCCACTTAGAAGGAGTGACGAGAGATGCAGTAAGGTGAAGGCTGCAGCTGGCTCAGGACCGTGCTTTGTGTCATTCCTTAGGAGAAGCCTATGTTCAGCAGTCGGCTTATGAGCAGTCAGCTGTAATGATAAGTTCCACCGTCATCATCATAACCAGTTAGCGTTTCTTCTGTTCTTTATAAATACTTACAACTGTAAGCAGGCAGCAGACGTAAGCACAAGATCATGCCAATACAGTGCTCCTCCGCACCAGAACCGGCCCATCACATGCACTGATACCATGAATGGATAGTTCTTTATCGTAGTTCTTTCTCCTTTAAATATACGCCGTCCGTCATGTTGGTGATACTCTTTAAGGTCTTCTAGCTCGCCTTGAGGGTCTAAAATATTTTTTACACGTATAATCCTTTATAAATAACATAGCGCCAAACACATCTATTTATACGGCGCGGACTAAGTAACACGGTGAATATGACACGCAGTTCTATTTTCATTTACGGAAGTAACTGGTTTTAGGCAAATACGAAATAAAGTTACATAATCATTTTTACATACTCATTGCTCACTCATTCATTCAAACTTCAAGTCACGTTGACAAAGTGCGTTCATAAAAATAAGGACAGCATTTTCTTTGTCACATAAAATAATATCAGTGTTAAATTGTCGAAAATAACGTTTGTAGTGTATAAAAGATCAAACTAGTCTGCTCCCCCGCTCGCAGTCGAGGAGTTACGGAGAATTGATGTAGTAATATAGAAGTCTTTACATAACATTAGCGCACACATTATTTAACGTTATTTCAAGTGACAAATTTTGTAAGAATTTTTTCTGCTAGATGACTCTTTCAATATTCAGAGGAGCCGGAGCTTCCCAATTCTTATCATGAATAATGTACGGATTTACATCAATTACTAATGGCGGTAGTTAACCAAGATTTACGTACTGACTTTGTTAAATATTTGTTTAGACTATCTATATCTATATGCACATATACATAAAATCTTAAGTGTCTGTCTGTAATATTGAAAACACTAACTTATATTGAGGGATTTATTTAAATGTAATTGAGACATTAATAAACATATTTAAAAATTTCTGAATAAAGATCTTTAGAAGGGCTGAACCGATTGCGATGAAATAGATGCTATCTGTTTTTAGGTATCTAGCATTTAATCCGAAAAGCTTAAAGTTTAAAAAAAGTGAAACTGATATAAACGGCCTTAAATCGTAATGACGATTGTAATGATCTAGGCCGTATTTTGTCCGAAAATCTTAAAGATTTTTGTGAAATCAAAAAAAAAATTATAAAATAAATGATCTTAGATGGTTATTCTTAATTTAAATTATTGCACAATCATAGATTCGGCCCAGGCGAAGCAGGGACGGGGCGGGTTGCTTATTAGCTTTAAATAGTTTACTTTACTATGCCTTACCCCAATAAATGTTTTCATTATCTTTAAAATCATATCTGTGTTTATCCTTTGGAGATTCAGCGATAAGTTCATCAACAATCGTGTCCAACATAGGATCGCTTTCACCATCATCACCAAATCTATTCATATAATCAAGTCCAATCGTTTTCCTTGTTAATAATTTACTTGTGTTTGCCTTTTCAGCCAATATTTTAATAATATCGTCTCTATTCATATTTTGTTTAAGCTTTAAATATACATTTTTTGTTTCATTATTTAAGAGAAATTTAAAATCGTCTCTTTCATATAATGCAGTAAAGAAATTAGTTTGATTCAAATCAGTTTCAGTTGTTATATTCTTAAGTAGGTCCGTGTATTTATTTTTATCGACGACATAACTATCTATTTTCTTCAGTTTTTCTTTTAATTCTGTAATTCTAGAACTTTCCAAATCAGCACCAACTACTTTAATAAGCGTTTCAGCTATGCTATTTGCTGATAAGTTCTCGCTGTCATCATTATCAATAGATTCACATGTCAAGTAAGTGAAACTATTAAAGACAAGGAAATAAAAAGAAATAATGATATGCATCACATGTAAGAAATTTCTTGCACTACATCAATGGAAGGAATACAATCATAATATATTTTACTGCCCATAAATTTTATTTCTCCGTGCCGATAGGAGCAAGCAATTGAGTATTATTTATAGAAATGGCAATAAGTATAAAATGAAACAGATCAAGTTTAGTGTATATTATACGTGGAGGAAGTATAGTTTTCACTTTGTAATCATTGATTTCTAACCGATTTCAAGAAAAGGAGCCATGTTTTCGATATAGCTCGAAGAATTGACAACCGATGGGGAAGAAAGGTTCTCGAGTGGCAGCCTGGTGCCGGCAGGCGAAGTGTAAGAAGTCCCCCCACTTGATGGATTGACCACCTGGTTAGACATGCAGGAAGTCGATGGATGCAGGTGGTTCAGGACCGTGCTTTGTGGCTTTCCTTGAAGGAGGCCTATGTTTAGCAGTGGACTTGTGAAGGACTGTAATGATAATGATGATGATAAGCAGAATTCTCCGATTTCTCGGAAAGGCGGAATCCTTTTTTATGATATATTTGTATCTATATAAATTAAATGATAGAGGTTTGCAGTTGTACGTTCATCACGGAAAAGCTACAGGATATATATTAATTTGGTTTTCTAAGTTTTATTTCTTAGACACTTGGCCTTTATCTAAAAAAAATATTACGATATATTTATTTAATATAAAGTTATTAAAGTTTTAAGAAACAACGATTTTGATAAGCACTGCGTATTCACTGATATGTGTTCTTTTTGTTAATATATCAAGCGACGCGAAAGAAGTCGTGAGTATCAGCTAGTTTTTAATATAAGGGTGATATTCGAGACACCAATCCATCTGGTGTTCAGTGGTAACTATAACTATTTTTACCGCGAGCTCTTTCAGTGAAATATGCAATATATAACTTATTACCGGGTGTTAGAACTCCTTTTCTTTCGATAAAAGTCCGTCTGGTTATGTTCCACACTATTACCTATTTCAGCCGCCAAATACAAATATGAGCTGTGTTCCGATCTGGAGGTTATAGAAAGCCAGTTCAAATACAGGCTGTGAGGCATTCCATCTTGTCATCGTCTTCAGAGGTGACAACGCATCGGTAGTCTTCTTAATTTTAAGTTGATTGCAGGTGTGCATGGTCTCCAGTAGCCACTTACCATCAAGTGAGCTGGAAGTTCTTTCGTCCATTCAGCTTGAAAACTATTTGTTTAGCTATGAGGACTAACATTATATTCTTCAAAGCTTTGAAGCCTTATTAGTAGTAGCACTACGCTTCGGCATGTAATGGTTTCAGCAAGAATGAATCAGTTTCGAGAACAGTTCAAACCGTTATATAAATACTAACAATCCGCCCCGGCTTCGTACGGGTGATTTCTGGATCTCGGCAACAGCGCTACCTACCGGGTTCAATTGTGAATCTAAACCATCTATCCAACCGGGGTTGTATGACGAGCGAAACAAATTCGTTGCATTTCAATTCTCAAATTATAAAATGTAGTGATAGGCTAGGTACCTATCACTTCCATCGCAATTTTCCATCTTACATAAATCGATGGGTAAACGCGGTCCGAGTGGCTCGCTTCTCTTTGGGCATTGCCTACCCCCTTGGGAATTACAGGCGTGATGTATATGCAATTAAAAAAAGCAATCTGAAATACGCTTTTTAAAATGGTGTGCAGTTGAATCAAAATGTTGATCTGTGGACGTGAGAATCTAAATATGTACCTATACTGACGTGTTTTATCAGTCCGTTCAGTCGATAAATAGCTGTCTATCATAATATTATTTTGGGTGTATTAATTTATTATTATTTACAATTTAAAATTTTATGTATGTATAATATGTAATATGTGGTAGGGCCACAGCAACCACTTACGATCAGGTGGACTGTGTGCTCCTTTGTCAGCCTATCCTATAAAAAAAATAATGCTACAGTAACAGAGTTACCGCAGCGCTGTTATTCTGTTGGAGCCAGAGAATAAATAACAGTACTACGTACTTAAGTGGACACGCGTACAGCGGGGCTGCCCAGAGTGCCCATGCGCACATATATGATGAATCTGAGATTAATACTTGTCAGTATATTTCTTATGCTGTTAAAATGTTTTTACATAATGAAATGTTATTAGTGGGACCAAATCACAATGGGCATTGGAGGTCCCCTTAATACTGGGCAGGACACATTTTCTTTCTTTACGCGGAATTAAGGCGACACCGCGAAAAAATGCACCTCCTTTCATCGAATAGTATAGGAATATGGCACGACTAACGAAACTGGAACTTTGATATAGGTAAATTCATGTCTTTATCTTGAGTTTACTTGCTCAAAAACACGATTGTAATATTTTGACTCGATCATAATAATTTGCGAAAACACCTCTAAAAAATCACTTTAGTTGAAATTACAACGAAATTACTTAATCTATATGCTTGGAAACCACTCAAATACATTCATAACATCAATATTCGTAATTTACTTGCTCATTATTTTGATTACTAAAATCAATAATTTTTTAAAAATATTTTAAGATTCTACGCGATTTCTAAGCGGTTTTAGTCGTCGCGGGCGCTACGCAATTTTAGACCTTATGACGAAGTGTTTGAAGTTTTTATAGAAATTATGTTTTACTCTGGTTAGTCCGGCGATAGCCCGCTTCAACGGTTTTCGATGTGTCGCCTGCAAATTAGTTTATAACAACCCCATTATTATTTTATTTGTTTCTAGCTGGTCCCGGTGCATTGCTGCGGCAAAAGTAAAAATAATTTTGGAAATAATGTTTTAAGTTTCGAAGAGCTATATTGTTTAATAAGGAATGATAATACGTTCATTGAAATTGAATGATATTATAACTTTCAAACAAATTTGTCAGTCCGATTCGCGCGCCATCTACTGTAAGTTAATTGTACTATGCCTAAAACCTTTGCGCTAGGGCAAGTAATAAGCTGACATAGTTTTAGCGCAATCTGGTGAACGGTATGGCAGCGCATAAAATACGAGCAAACAGACATTAATTTTCATATATTACATTGTTGTTTATTAAGTATAAAAATTGTGTTTTATTAAGTATAAAAATATAATATGGTATAGCCATCTATTGTGCAAATGATGGAAAACCAAACCGTGTTTACTAAAATAACTAATTTCTTAACAGGAGAAAATGAAAGATAAAATTAATTAGATAATTTAGCATCAAGCTCTGAATAGCTACTTTTTTATTTACATCAAACTTTTTATAAAACTAAAAATTCAGAAACTTTTACGCCAGTGCCATCTATGATGAAATATCGAAACAAGTGTTAGAGCAAGCCTTGGTTATTTCTTCATTGTTCCTTAATTCATCAAGAGGTGGCATTTATATTTTATTATTTATAGGGATAAAATAGCAAAATACCATTTTATTTTTGTAAGATTAAGATATTAATAATGTCTTACATACCTCTCATTTGCCGTGGTAGCTCAAGTTCACAAGTTACGCAAGCAACTCGGGTTCAATCCCCACCGGCACTAATAAATTTCTTAATTGCAATTTTAAGTGCTGATTTACCACGCGTTCAGCGGTGAAAGAAAACAGCGTGAGGGACCCTGCATGTCTGGAAAATTAAAAAAAAAATAGAAGTCCTATGAAGTTACCAACATACAGCGCCGTGGACTTTTTTATGCCTCTCATTTTAGTAATGATTATAAGGGAAAGATTCCGCTTGCTACTCCACGTTACTTGGATATTAAATTTCTTAGAACTAATTATTTTTTCATAACGTAGTAGGACCACGCCGCAGCTATAATATCATCATAGGAGGAATGGGTTGACTTGACCGGGGTAGGACCACGCTCTCACAGAATACCAGCGTGAAATAGCAGCTAAATGCTGCTGTGTTCTTATGGTGAATGTATAGAACCGGAAACCCTTTTTAATGGAAACGAGGCTTTCCATCTTATACATCGGGAGTGATAAAGCATCTGCCTTTTGATACTTAATCAAGGATAGAGGTAGATATCTATGGGCCACAGCATCCACGTCTCCCAGTGATCGAAATTTGACTGTAAATTATAAAATTTTTAATTTTCTAGATTAAGCAAACTGTATGTTACATTCAATCCTCAGTTTATTATTAAATAAACTGAGAATATAGTAGTGCTTTATTGTCACCAAATAAAAAAACGTGATCGCCTGTATTTAAATCGCTTCCAACAGCTTTATAATAAAAAAAAAATACACCAATAGCAAGAGATTTCAATGAATACTTCTGACGTAGTTATAACATTATTTATTTCGATTATTATCAAAAAAAAGTAAATTGAAAATAATTTCTCTTGGACGTCAGTTGGTCGGTATGGATGTCGACTAGATATCTTTCGAAAAACTGAACTTATCACTTTGTTTTTTTAACTCGTATTCGCTTCCGATTTTAATCCTTAGGAAGTATTTTGTATTTCACTATTGTCAACCGTCCCGTTCATTAATAGTTTTATTTTTTTATTTTATTAATTATATTTAACAATTTTTTTCGGTAACAAAATTAAAATCACAGGTATCGAGAAGTAAAAAAAAAAACATGTTAATTAAACAGAAACATTTTTGCAGCTTTAAACGAAATACCTAATTAATTACCTTCGGTAATTAATACAAGTAAATTGGTTGTTCAAAACATTACATAAGCGTACAAGGTGTGCACTTTTGGAATTTCCAAATTATTTTTATTATTTGTAGTTGTGATGAGGAAGATGCTGCTGCCCATCTCCAGTTTCATTTTACCTTTGTCGCCTTCCACGACACACTCGGGACTATATGGCCTAGTAGAATATTCCTATACTTGCACTACCCGGTGACCATAGACATTTATATAATATTCAACATTTGACATAGGCAATATGAACGAACGTAATGCATGCTTTCTTATTTTTAATTTATTTTATTCGTAACACATATTTAAGAAATTTTATCTTTCTGTACTCCTGTATATAAAATTTAGCTATTCCAAATCTCACACACAAAGATTTTACTTCACG